GGAACTACATGGGGTTCTTTCATTTAGAATCCTAAAAAAGCATTGTCACAAAGTATGGGGTACCTAATAATCCTGGCAAATGTGTAATGAGGGTCTTCATGGGTTTCTTTGAAGTACACATTATTATAAATTAAATGCCACAGACTCCTACAATGTGAGTCTACATGGGATTCCAGCTGTAAAAATATATTTAGATAAGAAACACCAAATGTAGCACCAAGATCCTGAATTTGGAGTTCTACATGGGGTTCCTTAAACCAAAAACACAGACAACAATGATTGTCGCCAAGATCTTATGATATATATACAGGTCCCTGAGGCCAGAGACAAGAAAACATTTCCTGTGACAAAGTTCTACATTAGCCTCCTGAAGTCAGCAACATAAAATTTTACACTAATAATGAAGTGCTACACTCTGTGGTCTAACAACAGTACTAGTGTCATGAGTACTAAGAAGTGATGGAAGATTGTCATCAAAGAGTTTATGAGATCAAATGTTGAGTGGCACCAAGGACCAAAAAAAATTTGACAGTTGCAAAAGTGTTACCGTGATACGAGTACTACATGTATGAATTGTCAACAAAGAACCAGACAAAATAAAGACAGTCACAAAGTAACTATGACAGGGTTTTACATTGACTTTATGAGGTAAGAGATCAAACTAGTAGGTTTGATTAACTTCCTTGTACATACATTGTACACTGTCATGAAGATGTTTATTGTCAACTTAGATACGATCCAAGTAAAATTATAAATCCTTAAAATAAACTTACGGTCTTCAAGCTTAACAACAGGCCCAGCAGCCCAGGCTTGTAAATATTGCTCTCGGGGCCTGTAGATTCAAAAGTTTATCGTGAAGACTGAACTTATTCTAAAACATTACTAATTTAACACTGTAATCTAGCCTTGAGGTCATAAAAATTTCGAGCACGATTTTCCTACTCAGACTCAGAAATCAACCAATCGAAATATTGGATTTGGTGTTTCGAGCACAATTTTTGTACTCAGAGTACTGAGTAAAGTTTTATGACCTGATCTTTGAATATTGTTTTTTTTCTGTATTAAAGTTTGATTTTGTTATTAGTAAATTAATACCACACTAAATATCATTGTTATATTCACAGTGCACGTGGGAGTGGTCACAAAGTGGCCAGAAATTCCAAATAAGTCCACTGACTACATATATATATATATCTTTATAAAAAGGACATGCCATTTCTTTTCTTTCATCATAAGAACTAAACCTTATATACATAAATGAAGGAAATATTAGTTTTTATCAATTAAATCTAGTTAAATTTTGCAGAGGCGGATTTAGGGGGTCCCGGCACCCTGGGCACCCTTTTGTGGGAAAAATTTGGTTGATTATTTAGGGAATAACTGAAGCATGACTAAGAGGACCTCTTATGGCAGTTAGTGCCCCCCCTCCCCCCCTCCCCCTTCCCTCCCCCCCTTATTATCCGCCACTGATTTGAGCTTGCAGATGTGAACTGCCCATGGCGGGTAAGTTGAGATGTAAAAATGCACATGAGTTGTCCAATATATTACATGAGTTGTACAATGTATTGTACATGATTGTTGTTTACATTGGTTATGTCTCCAATGGTAGAATTTTTATTGCAGTTTTCTAACCAGTTCCATTGTCTAGTCATTCATACATGAGCACTAGACCATCTCCTCACCTAAATTTTTATTGAAAATTACAAATAACCTCCTCTAGATATGATATTAATGTAAATCAATGTCCTCAAAAATTTTCATTGTTGAGGAATTAATATATATACAGTTAAGTTATATAATGATGGTATAATTTTACATTTTGTATTTATGTTGGACATTTCATGTCAGATAGGGAAGATCAGTTATGTAGAAAATCTCAAGATTTTATGGATTTGTTTGGATAAAGTTCAAAAGACAAAGTGCATGCTTATAACATGTAACGGAAAATCTAATGTGAAATAAATTTCCTTTGACAAGAATGAGGAAGATATTTATTGTTTCAGGGGGGTTATCTACATTCTTCTACTCAAGTATCAAATTCCTTTGTGACAAATTTATAATAAAATTGAGAATGGAAATGGGGAATGTGTCAAAGAGACAACAACCCGACCACAGAACAGACAACATCAGAAGGTCACCAACAGGTCTTCAATGCAGCGAGAAATTCCCGCACCCGGAGGCGTCCTTCAGCTGGCCCCTAAACAAATATATATACTAGTTCAGTGATAATGAATGCCATACTAAACTCCTTTACTAAAAACCCTGCTTAAGTTTTTGGGGCATTTAGAATAGCAAATACAGCATAAACTAAGTCTCAATTTTTCAACTTTGTAGAAGCAAGACAAAAATGATAATCTCCATTTTCTCAGGGGCAAAAAAACACCATCCTTCTTTTACTTTCAGAGATTCTCGGGAACTGCAAGTAATGCTATTATTGCACATATCTTAAGGTGTATGATCATGATGATATTAATGATAGATGACTGTTGAATGTCCATTGGCATTAAATGCATATATTCAGAATGGAAACATGTTAATGCAATATGATTATAAACCCTGCTTTGTACTTATAACGAAAAAGCTGAGACCAATTTTAAACATGCTAGTTCACAAGATATCTGTTTGCAGACAGAAATGTCACCCTACCTAGACAAATTAGTCGAACTATAAGCAAACCAGTGTTTGCTCTTACTTATATATATATATACCACATTCTTAGTGGAGAAGCAGCAAATAGCAGTTTTAAAGTCTTTGGTTTGACCCAGCCTGGGATAGAACCCACAACCTGTCCCACACTTGAGGCAAGTCTGCTACCAAGAGACCACTGAGGTGGTCCTCAGGTCTATAGATAATTGTCTAATAATTGGCAATTAAACCATATCATAATGTACAATGTAACAGTAAAAAAATTTATGATAATTAATAATCATTGGTTAGAAGTTTTTCATACAAACAAAAATCTAGAAAAATCAAAGGTCATGAATGTTTTCTCCAAGTCCGATCCTGATTTATCCAACATATCAGGGAATGCATGCATGCACAATGGAAAGTTTGCAATCACCAATATAATGATGACAACCTTTTAAATTGATTCTGTAACAAATGTAACTGCAATGTTTGTTATTTATAGACTGTCAATCCTATTTCCACTGACTTAATGAGTCAATTTGTGATAAAATTGACCAAAATGTTGAAAATTTACATTTGTAAATTCGGAAATGGAGAGAACATTAATATTGTGGCCTGATCAGTGAATATAAGTTTTAAAAAGTCAATAAAACCATATATTTAGATTTTGTTAAGAAATAGAATCCCGACAAACCCTATTTACCGCATCCAAAGACATTATAAATTCATATTTGAAAAGTTCCTTAAACTTGCAAGAATTACTAGATATATATATATTTATAATGTAAATTTGGATCCGACTCTGAAAAAACATGTAATTTTTCCAGAATATGTTTAAAGGGGAAAAATAATCAAATTTCTGATCTACAAGATATACATGTACATGTACCAACATTGACCAACTCTTGCTGTTTTAAGCAGGAGACAGGAAACAGACATAAAATTAAATACCTTCTTTTTAACGTGTAAAGAGTTCATGATCAAATGAACTTCTTTTGGTAAATCTGGTATAATGTATCATACTGAAACTGTTAGACTTGTTGAAGACATATTATTTTGTTGAAATCACATATTTACCGAAAAACAAAAGACAGTAATTGTTTTATTCCATGTGAAGAAGGAAACATGTATTTAATGACAATTATTAACCAAAATCAACTGTACATAAAAAAAATTGTCATAATAATACAGAAATACATATATATGCAAATGATCTTTAGCACGTTTATATCACTTTTCTTCTAGTGAATGTGCTGTTTTAACTTATACACAAAATCCAATCCATATAAAAAAAACTGAACATTGCTGAAGGGTAAAGCATATCCACATAAAAATAACCTACACAAATTATACCAATATGGAATAATCAATAATATGAAAAATTTGTCACCTGATTTAAGTCTTCAACAGAAATAGAATTTGCAGTCAAACTCAAGCAACACAAATATTATTGACTGATTATTATTGTTTGACAATAAATGGAGAGAGAAAGAAACTGACTTTTTTGGCCTAATTTGTCAATGAACAAAATGAGGGCAAAATAATATGTGTTAACAGTATCCCACACAACAGCTGACCATGACTATTTCCCCTGAAAATTGGGCAAATTTATTATATTTTCTATTGTATTGTTCTTTACAAAAATATTCTTTTTGTTCAACCGCTAGCTTAATGTACAAAAAATATAGGTAAATGCAAGACCAGATCAATCACAGAATTGAATAAGGCTATTTATTTTTTTTGCACATCAAATAAAAAACATTTTGCGGAACTATCAACCCTTTTTTTAAGTAATGTCTACTAATGACATACACGACTAAGAACATGTACATAAACACATATAAAAAAATTTTGGCCTAAATGTGTTTTGATAAATCCTGACATATTTCATTCAATAAAATTTAATTAGGTAAACATAAAATAAACTATGAAGGTGAAAAGTATTAAATGAAGAACCCCCCCAATAAAACATCACAACTCAGAAATTATGCAAGTTTTTCGGGAAAGTTAACACTCAACAACTCATATATTTATTTCTGGAATTATTTAATGTACCCTGGTAAATTTGTCCTTAGTTCACAGAAGCAAAAAGCGTGAACCTGTTGAAAATGACCACACAATTGCAGTCTCCTTTGTATGCTGAAACAAAATGACTCATTAATGAGCTGTCCCTGTTTTCACATGGTACTGTGTGTTCCAGGGGCAGTTGATAAGCATTATAACAAAATGACATGTGTCGTGCAACTCCAAATTTTGTTTTGGACGTGTAAATCTTTTCTATGATAAAAACAGGAAGTCTGTCTCATCATTGATTATGTGCTAATATTTTGGCACCGACTTCTGACAATGAAAATTTACTCTAAGAATCTTACCCTCTGATAATTCAAGTTCAAGCTCGCGCAATTGTTCATTTATGTCTTGAGGAAGCTTTGCTAAATCCACCTCAACATCTGCCATTGTGATTTTTTAAATAATATACAAATAAATATCGTCTGTCACTCAAGTGTTTGAAAATCAATCTTCGCCATTTTGTGTAGTGCTTCACACCACACCTAAGTCTCGCGTGAATTTATCTTCCGAAATTTTCTGACTTTTTCGTCCGTTAGAGGCTACAATCCCGTTGAACCAAACATCGAGTAGACCGTCCTTCACCTGGAAGTTACGAAGTGACAGACAATACACAAAAATCTAGAAAAAGAGGGACAAGGAAAAAGATGTCATATTTTCGTTTCCCCTGTTCTTTAGGGGACTCGGATATGTTAGACTACCACAAGGATGTAAGTCAGAAATAAATTTACAAATTTAACTCATGTGATTATCCATATAAGGTAATCGGTCATCTGTCTTCACTTTCCCGGCTGTTTCCAAGGTTCGAGAAAATCTTCCTACATGGATATTATCTACGTTTATGGGTATTGTAACCCCAAAACACGTATTTCGAGACAGGTGCTACCTGATGATTTCAGAATGTTATTTATTTATGTATGATTGTTTTATTAATCATCTATTATGTCTATAGAATTATTAGTAAATTACTAATATTAGATAACAAATTTGTTGACAATGTCATTGACATTGTCAATGGAAGAGTTTCCAATTTTGAAAAATTATTTATGAATAAACTGCCCTGTTTGACTTGGGGTAATTTGGGAAATGCATTACTAGACATCATAGACATTGTGACATGAAGATGTTTGCTATTTGACTTAAAAAATTTCCGGGAAAAAGCACCAGTCAGAAAGAAGATCATGGTATACATCTTATTGCTACATTACTCATTAGTCTGCATAAGTGATTTGTTCCAAAAAATTTTGACAAAATAACTGACACCACAAAGGAAAAGTTATTGTTGTACGCAGTCGATATTTTCAAATGAAGGAATTCTCAAGTCAAATGCAATGAAATGTTAGATTCCTAAATAATGAGCAATTAGGACTAGAATTTGTGTATCAGAAACAATTAACAAATGAAAAGGTACATTTGTATGATTTGGGCTAAATTGGCTCTCAAATCAAACTGTCTCAGCTTTTCAGAATTTAATGTTAAATGTATGTACCTGGATTGAAACAAGGATGTTTTGGTTAAAACTATACGCTGTGTATGATTTATACAGGCATGAAACATGTGAAGTGACAGTAAATTCATTAAAATGGTAATATCATGCAAAATCTTGACTATGTGAAAAGTACTTGCTAAGAAATAAAACAAATTTTAACATTACCATAATAGTCTGTAAATACAAGGAAATATGTTGACAAAAATGTAACTAGAGACTTCAGATTTCATTGTGAAATCCTCAAGAGGTTAATTGGTTACTGCACCCAATCCTATTTTAAATTTAAATGAAATAATTATAATGATAGTTATGGTAAATTTTATTGGGAAAAAATAGTTGTCATTTGTTTATAATAAGTATTCAGAGGTGTATAACTGCATTTGAACATATGCAATTCAGGAATACGACAGTTGTTTTCCATTCGGTGGGTAGGTTGATACAGTTTAGTGGTTATTTTGTCAGGTTTATGGACTTTCCCCTTTTTGAATTTACAGGTCTTGGAGTTCTGTATTTTTGTTAATACTGTTTTTGTTAACCAATTTACATACATATGTACATGTACAAAAAATGTACATTGTACACTACATGTATGTTAAATAACAACTAAAAATTAACAAAAAAATGTAAGTTGAGGTTTGTATTTTTACCCATTAATAAATGTAATACATGTATTACAAAAATGTAACATGATATTTTCCTATAGAGACGATAAAAACATGAGAAATATGACAATATTATAAAATATAGTGCCATGTGAATGTCAAATTGTTTAACTTTGACCAAGTACATACAAACTGTATCATCAGAGGTTTCATTACATTTGTTAAATTCAACTTTGATTCAAATATAAATTTATACCTTAAACATGCTAGAGAATATTGATTGCATTTATACAATAATTGAACAAAAACAATAAATGGTGATAAAAAAAAAATCATCATTTTTTAAATGGAATATCCCTCTCAATGTTATCACGGCTGCCACCAAAAACACCATCTGATCAATCACTCTGCGTTGCATTGAGTCACTCAACATAAGCAAGACCAATACCTTGAATTTAAAAAATGCACTTGTGTATGATAATCATAATTATATCTGACTCTAAATATTTTTCAACAGGATCACGATGCTTTGACAGAAAGATTTAGAAAGACTTTGTATTATGGAAAGATGCCGAACACAGAAAGACCCTCGCTACCTCTAACAGGTGAGAAGTTGACCTATGACATACATGTATGATCCTTTTTATGATGTCTTGTATATGTTTTACTATAAAAAAAAAAACAAAGCATCAATAACAGTGCATATTTATGTTACATTTAAGTACCAAGGGAGATAACTGTGGATTTTTTTGCTATCTACACTACAGCTCGCTGGATTTTTGTCTTTTCCACTTTTAGCATCTAGATTGCCCGGCCTTTGGAGTGAACATGCCATTTCTTGTCTTTCATTGCAAGACTTGCACATTTAACATGTTAAATACTTTTAAAAAATGAATTGTATTCAATATTTTACAAAATCCGAAGTTAAATTTGAGTAGGCATATATAAAAAGCCCCCCCCCTTCCCTTTTCATGTTACTGAATATAATGATTATTGACATATTTTCAGTTAAAATTGTCCAAAATCAACAGGTTCACAGGTTTACATTATACAGTTTCGATTTTATACCTGACTTTTTTGTCAGGTTATGTAAATGCGTCTTGTAAAAAAACATTTTAAGTTCGGGTACTGAGCTACTACTCAATGTGTAATTTTGTTGAATTGTGTAAAATACTTTAAAAGAAAAAAAATATTGTTTTTGAACATTTTTATTTTATTTTTTTTTGTAGATATTGCTGTGGAACTATTCCAAGAAAGAGCTCCTCGTAAACTTGGAAAAATTGACCAGTATATGGTGGCTGCTGCAAGCAGGTAAGTAAATGATTTTGTTGGATATGCAATTATACACGTATCTATATACACAAATTCAATGTTGATAGCAAGGCCTTGAATAATATATATTAGGTGTAAAATACCTTAGATTAGGTAATGTGAAGGTTGCTCTGTCAGATTAAAAACAGAAATGGATTGATCTTTGTAACCGTATATTTAAGGTCAAAGGGAGGTAATTGTGAAACAAATAGTCTAGAATAAAATTCCTTTTCAGACACTGAAAATACTTCACATTTGTAATTTATTTTTACATTTTTGTTGACCTTTAGTTGTTTTTTTATTGTTTTTTTTTCTTGTTGTTTGATTGCTCTCTCATTCAACTTATGTATCTTCTGTCATTTGTATTTTAAATATTTAAAAGAAATAGAAAGAATGATTGACCTTCATTAATTAATTATCTCTGTTGATTTTATTTTTACATTTTCAAGATTTGTTGCAATTTAGACCTCGGTGTGAACATATTTTTTTGAGAAATGGTAATTGTAGATGTGATCCTCATTTTGAGGTGTATTAGGTAGTGTGTCACATTTATATACTTTATATTACAGAGAGAACTGTATATCTCCTTGTACAATGATGATGGGTATGATATATAGTAACAGACTTCGGACAAAGAATCCAGAATATCTACAACAAATTTCCTCCTCTGACCTCTTTCTGATTTCCATGGTAATATTTAATTTAAAATTCATTAACTTTATTTTGGAAAAATGTGATCTTTCCATGTTAGAAAATCCACATGTTTAAATCTTTTGGGAAAATTGACTTGATGAATAGTTATTCAAAGTTTTCCCATGTTTGCCAAATATGTAAAATTACCAAGGGGAAATTCAAGTCGAAGAGAATCTGATAGCGCCATGGCAAAAAAAGAAAAAAGTCCACCAAACTCTTCTAAAAAAACTAAAGACTGAGCAACACGACCCCCACCAAAATCTGGTTACTCTCACTCTAAGAACATCTGGGTCTTTTCAAATTATATCATGGTTATGGTAATTTCTGTCAGAATGTTCATGTTAGTTTTGTCATTTCTACCTGCTCACCGTGGGCAGTCAATTTTTGCCAACTCAATTTAATCATAAAATTGTTTAGAAATGTTGAATACAAAAGCTTAACTAAATTTTTCAAAGAATAGACATTAAATGTTGACTTTTTGTGAAAGAAGAAATTAACCCACTCTGAGCCCTCTCCAACTCCTGGCAAGGTGCATTTGGCTTCAATTTTAATTGACAAGGATTGCCATTTTTCCTGCCCAAGGTCTGTGGTTTTCTCTGGGTATTTCAGCTTCCTTCACCAATAAAAAGTGTCGGCCATGATAAAGTCAAGAGTGCTTTTCTTTCATCTTAAGATTTGAAGTAACAATACCTAGGAAAAATTAGTTAAGTTTTGTATTTAATGTTTGTATAAAATACCAAGTTAAATGTTTTATCTTAATGACAGATGATGGCTTCCAAGTTTATGTATGATGAAGGTGTTGACGAAGAAGTCTTTAACGATGAATGGGCGGATTCGGTTGACATGGAAACAGAGGAAATAAATCAAATGGAACGAGACTTTCTATCGGCCATTGTAAGATTCTCATTATTGTGGGAAAAAAGTTTTGTGGGTTACCATGGTTACAGTTTTGTAGATTGAGTGAATAATCAAATTTTTTATATGCACATTTCTTCTAATTTATTTCTTAAAATCTGAAAATTTAATGCAGAATTTGTAAGTGAACTGAAAACTGATGCATGCAGCTCATTTTACATGACATTTTCAAGTGTTTTTTTCTAAAAAGTGTACTTGCTATCCTATGGCTTAAAATTTACAAAATCCTACATACCTTGGAAAGTATTTGAAAATGATTGCAGTATGTTTTTTATGATTAGATATGATAAACATTTATGCCATGACTAAATTCAAAGTCAAAGATATATTTAAAGGGAAAGATATGGATTTGTTGTAAAAGTTATTGATTTATGAATAATTTTATCAATAATTAGCATTGAATCCCTTTGTCTCATAATAATACAGCTTTTGTCACTTGAGAAAACACATATCACTTGAGAAGTGTAAGATGTAAAATTATCATACAGAAAGATAAATGAAATTTGAGGAAATAGCAATAATCAAAAACATTTTATGTGCTTGAACTTTCAAAGTCTTATGACAACTTATATTTGTTGAAAGATTGCTGGTTTTGGAGCAGTGTTTAATAAAACTTTTTATGAAAATAAGGAGATATGATTTGATTTTCAATGAGACGACTATCCATAAGAAACCGAATAACGGGGAAGTTACCAACTATAGGCCATTGTACAGTCTTCAACAATGAGCAAAACCCATTTAGATTCAGTATTGAAATCTTAAGATTGTAATCAAGTGATTGTTGAAATAGAAATAAGAAGATGTGGTATGAGTGCCAATGAGACAACTCTCCATCCAAGTCACAATGTGTAAAAAGTAAACAATTATAGGTCAAAGTACGGCCTTCAACATGGAGCCTTGGCTCACACTGAACCGCAAGCTATAAAGGTCCCCAAAATGACTTGTGTAAAACAATTCAAACAGGAAAACCAACGGTCTAATCTATATAAAAAACCAGAAACACTTAAGAACTACATCAACAAACGACAACCACTGAACAACAGGTTCCTGACTTAGGACAGGTGCAAACAAATGCAGCAGGTTTAAACTAGTGAGATGAAAGCATTTTTGTCCATTATATTAATGTATGTAATAATTGTATAATTACAGGACTGGAATTTATTTGTAAGCGACAAAGAATTCAGCAAGGTGCTTCATAACATTGAAACAAGGTAACTATTGTACATATCAAGCATGAATGAAATTAAGAAATCAAATTACTATAGCATGAACAAAATAACAATTTCAGCCCTCACATTATTGCAGAAGCTTTAGAGGTTTTTTCCAACAACAATATGTGGCTCATTATGAGAATATGTAATCAATGTGGAACCCATTTGGTTTAAAATACTGGCAAAATATTAATAAAAGACAGTAAAAAATCATATATAAAGTGAAAAAAAAACCAATAATGCCACAGCAAACAAAAATCAAACAACAGTCATCATATATTACATAGAAAACTAAAGGCTGAGCAACATGAACATCAACAAAAACAGGGGATAATATCAGCTGATCCAAAAGGGTAAGCAGATCCCCACCAAAAACTGGGGTGATCCAAAAGGGTGAGCAGATCCCTACCAAAAACTAGGGGTAATCTCAGGTGATCCAAAAGGGTGAGCAGATCCCTACCAAAAAACGTGGGGTAATCTCAGGTGATCCTAAAGAGTGAGCAGATCATAATCAAAAACTAGGGGTAATCTCGGGTGATCCAAAAGAGTGAGCAGATCCCTACCAAAAACTAGGGGTAATCTCAGGTGATCCAAAAGGGTGAGCAGATCCCTACCAAAAACTAGGGGTAATCTCAGGTGATCCAAAAGGGTGAGCAGATCCCTACCAAAAACTAGGCGTAATCTCAGGTGATCCAAAAGAGTGAGCAGATCCCTACAAAAAACTAGGGGTCATCTCAGGTGATCCAAAAGGGTGAGCAGATCCCTACCAAAAACTAGGGGTAATCTCAGGTGATCCAAAAGGGTGAGCAGATCCCTACAAAAAACTAGGGGTAATCTCAGGTGATCCAAAAGGGTGAGCAGATCCCTACAAAAAACTAGGGGTAATCTCAGGTGATCCAAAAGGGTGAGCAGATCCCTACAAAAAACTAGGGGTAATCTCAGGTGATCCAAAAGGGTGAGCAGATCCCCACCAAAACAGGGTAATCTCAGGTGATCCTAAAGAGTGAGCAGGTCATTATCAAAAACTAGGGGTAATCTCAGGTGATCCAAAAGAGAGAGCAGATCCCTACGAACAACTAGGGGTAATCTCAGGTGATCCAAAAGGGTGAGCAGATCCCTACCAAAACTTAGGGGTAATCTCAGGTGATCCAAAAGAGTGAGCAGATCCCTACCAAAAACTAGGGGTAATCTCAGGTGATCCAAAAGAGTGAGCAGATCCCTACCAAAAACTAGGGGTAATCTCAGGTGATCCAAAAGTGTAAGGAGATCTCCACCAAAAAACTGGGGGTAATCTCAGGTGATCCAAAAGGGTTAGTAGATCCCTACCAAAAACTAGGGGTAATCTCAGGAGACCCAAAAGGGTGAGCCCATCCCTACCAAAAACTAGGGGTAATCTCAGGTGATCCAAAAGGGTGAGTAGATGCCGCTCCACATGGTGCTCATGGCAAGTACAAATTTGATAATAGTAGCTGTGAATTAATTCCGTCTTTGTTATAATTACTGAAAAGTGTTACTAGCTGTGAATGAATTCCGTCTTTGTTATAATTAATAAAAAGTGTTACTAGCTGTGAATGAATTCTGTCTTTGTTATAATTACTGAAAAGTGTTACTAGCTGTGAATTAATTCAGTCTTTGTTATAATTACAGAATAGCATTACAAAACGGACTAAACAGGGGATGGTTTACTTATACAGATTTAATGGTGCTCTCACATAATGCCAAAGTCCTGGCGATTAGTCAGGAAATTTCCAAGGTATGGTAGAATAAAAGGTAGTATGAATTAAAGGAAATGTTGGGTATATGGGCAATAATTTGGTATTTGGCCTTTGGTTTCTTTTTGTATCTTTTTTGAACTTTTATTCTGTGGGTTGTGTTGGTGTGAGACTAGTATTAATGGAACAAGTAGGTTTTTCGAGGAAAAATTAATCAATTTTGATTCACTGTTTTCGTGACAGGAAACCAAACAGGAAACAAAACTTTATTGTCTTTATTTTGCACAATTTATTTCAAAAGACATAAATGAACACCATTACTAGTGTTACTTGCTTCATGTTAATATTTAAAATCTATTTTCAATGTTAAATTAAGGTTTTTTTTTAACGCGACAGGAAACCATAAGAAACCGAAAGCATTTTTTTAGATTTATTTTATTGGAAAATCAGCTTAAAATAATCTGAACAGTAAACTTTTTCTTGATAATGTTACTTATAACTTTGGTTTTGAAATTTAGGACTCTTTTTTGATAATTTTTTTCCAATAGACAATAAAAATTATGAGAATATAGAAACAAGGGCACTAAGTCTTTAGGATGTCACTATAATAAATTATTTTGGGCGCCGACTTGCATCTACTGATTTTGACTACCAATGTATTTTCTCTTGCTTTTTGTTATAATTCTTGTACACTTTTATATGTAGCACATGTGCCTACTTACCCTTAGAAACCCAATGCAGTGTGCTAGCTAGCTCTGTAACACAATTGCATGGTTTACACTTTGTGCTTATGCGTCACTAACCAGAAAATTCAAGCACTGTATAAACTGGGAGATCTAGCTAGTACTATTTATCTTATATAATGTATTTTTCTATAAAAGGCTGTTCCAGAAGTGAATGTATTGGGGGTGTTGGGAGGCACTTTCTCAGCTCTCACTTTTGATTCAATTGGAAAGATGCATGACATTTTAAATTTCTAAATTTTATTGAACACAAAACAAAAAGCGTGATCCAACAAACACATTAATGTTTGGAACATCCAATATGTGAGTGATGTCCACAGTATAAGTAGTATCTTGTAACGTCCACCCTGTCCCTTGCTTTTTGTAAAATTGCATGTTTTATATAGATTTAATAGGCTGTTGGTTTTCCCGTTTGAATGGTTTTACACTAGTAATTTTTGGGGCCCTTTATAGCTTGCTGTTCAGTGAGCCAAGGCTCCGTGTTGAAGAATGTACTTTGACCTATATTGGTTTACTTTTATAAATTTTGACTTGGATGGAGAGTTGTCTCATTGGCACTCATACCACATCTTCTTATATCCAATAAAAGTTTGAATTGTTTTACATTTGTGATTTCGGGACCTTTTATAGCTGACTATGTGGTATGGGCTTTGCTCATTGTTGAAGGCCATACAGTGACCTTTAGCTCAGCTGTAAATTTCCGTGTCATTTGGTCTCTTGTGGAGAGTTGTCTAATTGGCAATCATACCACATCTTCTTTTTTATAAAGACAAGATTCCATATACAAAACCATTATTTTGCGGGTGTATAGAAATTCAATGAAATCCTATAATTGTTTACACCCTTTCATTACAACTGCTGGAAAATTACAATTAAGTACCATGGATTACAGAAATATAACCAAAAACCTCATATACCAAAAAGAATAGCCTGGTTTATTTCACTAAATTTCTTTCCAAAATTTGTGACCACAAATATATAAATCTTGATTAATAAAAAAATCTAAACAACACGAACCCACCAAAAACTGGGGGTGATCTCAGGTGCTCCAGAAGGGTAAGCAGATCCTGCTCCACGTGTGGCACCCGTGACATGTTATTTCATGCAATGTTTTATGGCAAATTTGATATAGGAACATATTTTCAAAGCAAAATGTTACTTTTAAGTTGAAAAGAAAAGTGTTTTGATATATTGGCCATGCAGGCAGTGAACCGGCACTACTTACCTGAAGGGAAATAACACTTTTGAAACACTATGAAATTGTGACGCATACAACTGAACTGGATACAATATTGGCGGTTTCCATGTATTGATTTACTACTGGCATACATATGCATTTAGATTTGCATCTCTGGTTAAACTCTGTCTTAAATGTAATAGTATTACTATAAAACTCCTAAATATGTGTTTGTTTTAACAAAATTAGTGCAATCTATTCAGAGAATTTCCACATTTTCTTAATTGATACAGGATACCATAATCGTTGTATCTTGATGTTTTAGCCAAAAAAATGTATTTATTGGTTTTGAAATTCCAATTTTATACAATTAATTCCAATGTCAAATTCCTATAATCCAGTAAAGTAAAAAACTTTTAACTTGGAATTAAAATCTTATAATAGGCATCATGTGATATTTGTGACCTGTACACCATGTACATGGTTTCCTCATGTTAACCTTCTTTAGTGGGCTAAAATCGATAAAGTACTTCCTTTCAAGTCATGCATCGTAAAACTTCACTTCTCCTTTGACAATATTATTGCATTTTTGAAAAGTGTTTGCTGAATATGATTAAAATAAAAAAATAAAAATTGTGACAAAGATACCAACTCTGTACATTCCAAGTGTAACGGTATATCAACATGTATTTTTTTTTAAATTATCTGTATTTACCTAAAATATCAAGTACAATTTAATGCTAAAGCAAAATCAATTCATCGAGCATCGGCAGAATGATAAGAGACGTAATGTTGATTGAATTTTCCAAGGACCCTTTTCATCGTTATCCGGAAACAAAGTGTGTTGTAACGTCCCTCGAATAAGAAATCGATTTTGTCAAGTCATTTGGCATTTATTTTCACTCAAGATAGTGTGCAACATTATGCACGTAGGAAAAATAATAGACCTCCGTCGCGATCTCTTTCAAAATTGTATCTTCCTTTTTTAAACAATATGAAAACAGTCTACAGAATATGCTTGCTACTATCCCGTTGGAAACAAAAACGCTGTTTAGACCTAATATTTCCTATACCCGACCGTAAGCATGGTAAGCGCTTAATCACATGTTAGCCACATGTTTCACTTATGACTGGAAATGATTTGGACTGAACGACAAAAACAATTTTAATAAAAAAAAGTAAATAACTGGACTTCTGTTTCGTGTGAAATGTAACGCATAACGTCATTTTCTAACTTAATTATTACGAAGGACAAAACTAGAATGTAAATAATCACTGATTTACCTGTTTGAACATCTCGTGAGAGTTCATATTTGCATATTGTTATGAAGAATTCAAGTACAATAAAGCAGACTACACCATCTGAATTTTGCGTTACGAAATCGGAAACCAAAGTAATGCTACTTTTCTTACACCTGCTACAAAAATAGTTATAGTTCTCGGCAATTTCTTCTGACTATTCTTTTTGATCGATGTTCTTTATTATTTGAAAGCAAAAGTTACGATTTTGCAGGCGACGATTATCTTTAAATCGGGCAGCGTTACGCACTTCGGAAGCGAAAATAACGCTAAGAAACGACATACAAAAGTGGCCGAATAATCTTAAATATTTGTTTATTTCAAGTTCTCTCTAGGGGAGATTAGAAAGCACCTATATTTTAATAGAAATAATAGCATTTGATGGTGGAGCAACAACTTCTCTCAACAAAATACAATATTTTATCACTTTTCTATCGTTATCGGAAACGGTCCCAATACCAAATTATTGCTCATATGTAGATGGGACTGCAATCCAATGACAAAAATCACAGAAAGATATTTCGCGGATGACATATATTCTTAATGCCTATACAATATACAAGATATTTTTTTTAATCCAAAGACATTAAAACTGATATTTGCTATCTTTCTGTTAAGCAAGGAAAAACTAGAAGACCTGTTTGCTCAGAGTCAGAATATAGTGTCCATGCTGATTGACATGTCTTACCGGGAACCTTTGAGGCCAGCACATTAATCAGGATAAACATGTTAGTCAGTTTTCAATCCTAAATATACAAAGTAAAATTTGCCACCAGAAAAGAAATATCTGTAAATCAATGCCATATTTAAATGACCAATTTAAGAACAAATTTTGTTTTTCTCCTTTTGATTTGATGATTTTCTCTCCCATTTCAGGTCATACTGGTTTCCTCTTTGACTTACCTGACTGGTATCCTGACTATGATTGGTTCTACAGTGTTGGTAACCGCTGCTTCAGCAACTTTAGGTCCCATCATCCTACAGTCACAAGGCAGGTTAGCTCCCCTTCCTATCACAGGTGTGCTTCCTGTTAGAGATGATATCACTGATGAGAATGTGACACAGGAAGAACACTTGCCAGTTGACCAAAAACCAAGCTTGACCAAGGAATCCATTGATTACATGTTGGCAGAGTTGATGACTGTTGTGTCGCTACCCACAACTTTTGTCAAGTTCTGGTACTCGGCCATGGATCAAATTAAATCGGGAACAGTATCTTCAAGTGCAAAGGAAAAACAAAAACAGAATTTCATTTGTTCAAATGGACCTTGTCTTCCGTCTGCTAGACCTAATTGTAAGAATGTAACTGACGATTCACAAGAATGGGATGTATGGGACCTTTGTTCGGAGTGCCAGTCATGTCAGAAAAATTCGCGGCAGAAACTACAACACGGAAAACAAACACAGGGTGCTATGAATGACCAGATGTTAGGACTTAGAATGTGCAAGAGCCAGAAATTTGATTGTGCTGTTAAATGCTGTTGTGAACAGGGAAGCAGTTGGACGTTAACTGATACTCTTTCTAGTACTATGTTTCCAGATGTACCAGGCTTTAATACTGGTTTACATTTTCCTATCTATGTAACAACTTAACAGTGTAAATGGCAGTAAATTTTGTCCACCACCATTAAAAATTTGTTAATTGTCAGTTATAGTCAGTCTGATTGAATACTTACTGAGACCAGTAAATTAAACAAATCAAATATTGGCAAAGATCTCAACTCGCAAAATTTTAGTTGGCCAGAGCCTGTTGACAATATCTGTTACATCAATTTTCATTTTTGTTTGATTTAATGTGCATCATAAGTGAAATTTTAAAAAATTCAGGATTAACTGAAGTTGTGAAAAATTTACATTTGAAAATAATAATGATTGAAATATCACAAGTTTTGATTTTAAAAATTTACAAAAATGGGGTAGTGCAAAATTTACTGCCTTTAGTGAGAACTGAACAAGCATGATGATTAACTTAATATAGTTGCATATCAACAATTATTTTTAGGGAAAATATTATAAATATATCAATTCTAATAATTTATAATTAAACAAGTCAGATACTGATATTATTATTATACTCCTACTCCTAGGTATATATTGCAAGCACATTGTCGGTCTGTTCTTCCAAAAAATATTTTCGTCACATATTTCTCCATTTGGACAGATCTAGAATGATTTCATATTTGGTCAAAAACTTAATGAGGATGAGTTGTAATGTGTGTGTGTGCTTCAAGGATATGTCTGACAGCTACATCGTGTTTTCTTATACTTTGAATCTATATAAGTAAGGGTATGCCTTAGCGTGAGAACCCACGCAGTCATGTTTTGGAACTAAATTAATGATTACTATCCTGTATCCAAAGACTTTTAACAGACAGAGATTGAAATGGATTGGAATAAAATATATACCTTTCTCCAAAATAGTTCAACTAAAATGTTATCTATATTGATGAGAAAATATTTTTCTAAATATTTAAGTAGACATTCACAATTATATTTCTGTAAATGTTTTTGTTCTAAAGTCCCATTTTCTTTTTTCATTTTCATAGAAACCAACAGAATAAAGTATAAAGTTTTATTAAAATTTAACCATGGGATTTAAACTAAAAAATCTTAAAGCCAAAACTGAAGACAATTTAGAGAGCAGTGTTAATAAGAGGCTTTAATTTCACATTGGTTATAAAATTTCCATTGCCTTATAAAGAGTTATATCCCTTGAGTATTATATGTCCACCTTAAACCTCCAGTCTATATAAGATATTATACATGTATATTTAGATTACAATAGTAAAACCAAAGACCACCTCAATGTGAGTTTGACACAAGATTTTCAATTTGAAGAAAAAAACTTCAAAATATAAGTTACACTACAGTTCAGATGGATTTTGCTTTTTCCAGAGGGGGGATTCAAAAGGTGCGTATGAAAAGGCTTACACCCCCCCTTTTTTTTATCTTAAAAAATTTTTTGGTAAAATTTTCTACCATTTTTGACAAGTATGCCCCCTTTGCTCGGGTCCTGGATCTGGAAGCCAGCTCATTTCAACTCAAATCTAACAAAAGTTTTGTCAAATCATTGAACACAATAGCTTATCTCATATTTCCAAGATATTTTGCTTTCAAAGAAAAGACATAAATGTACCATGTCCACTCCAAAGTACAGGCACAGAGAATTGCATATTTTCACCATTTATGAGGGGATGATACGCTTTTGGGATGTGGGAAATAGGAGTAAACAGAGTGGGGATGCGGGATGTAGGAAGGGGGAGTGGGGATATGGATATGGGGGTAAAAAAAAAGAAGGATCTGGGAAAAAAGAAGGAGAAAAATTTGAATGCAGAGGGAAATTTCAAAAAAAGTTCCTAGTTGTCACAAACACACTCCCCCTCCCTCATTGGTGGATGGAAATGACAAAATCCATGTGTACTGTAGCTTTATGTCTGTCAAATATTATTTTCAATAATGTCATGAAGGTTAAAAGGCAGCAAAAAAAGTAACATTTTTCTTTCGATTTTATACTCTAGCTTTCTTATTCAATCTTGCAACATACTGGTACATGTATAGTGCAGATATCTAGGCCAGGTTTAGATTGGGGCAAGAAAATTAAATACAGAGAGCTTGCACTATCAAATATCACACCCTATTACTGGCTTTTGAATGGCAGATAAATTGGTAACACAGACAAAAAACTGCTGTATACCAAAGCCATAATTGTTTTTTAAAATATCAATCAGGAATACAGATCCTATATATATATTGTATTTGCCGAAATGCTTGGTTGTAATAGGGTGTGAATATGTCGTTGCAATCAAAGAAAATTGTATTAAGTTACACATGTAACAGCCTTCAGACTTTGAATGAAATAAAATTTAAAAAAAATTAATCTACATTTATTTTGTTTATCTGTTATTGTTTTGATTAATTTCAGAAATTCCTTACCTGTCCAGAGCACCCATGTTAATTTCATGTTTTTATACCCCCACTCCACAGAGTTGGGGGCTTTAAAGAAGCCTCCTGTCTGATGGTCCATCTATCCATTAGGCTGTTAGTCTGTACCCCGTCACACTTTTAATTTCCAGATGATAAACAGTATTGCTTTTTGAAATTAACTTAAAATTTTATTGGAATATTTTAAAATACTTCAGACAGGTCAAGTTTAGTTTGTGTCGTTTTAACTTTTACTGTTCCAAATTCATGGTACTTGATTCTTGTAAAAATTCAAATTTTTAAGGTTTCAAGATGATAAATAGAAAACCACTTTTTGAAATTCATTTCAAATTGTTATTGTCATCTTTTGGATCAGGAATAAGGTCTACAAACAAGTTAACATAGCTGAAATTGTCAATTAACAACTTATAGGAGTTATTGCTCCTGAATGACAATTTTTACCCATTTTTGCAGAAACTAAAGTAGTTTGAGAGCAGTAGTAAATAGCAATATGTACAGTAGCATAAAATCTACACAAATTAAGTCAATATGGCTTAAATAGTCAATTGATGAGTTATCATCCTTGACATAATTTTCACACAGTTTGGTTTCTTTTGAAGAAGACATAATAGAGAGAAATTGTAAACAGCAAAGATGTTTATCATGACGGATTCTTGATAGGAGTTATTGCCCCTGAATGCTGATTTTATCCATTTTTGGCACTTTTGTCATAAAACTATAGTGGATATATAGAGAAACTTTGATTTAAAAAAATTACGAGCAAAAGAATCTACAAGTAAGTCAACATGGTTGAAATCATCATACTCCTTGTGATTTATTGCCCTTAAATAACTTGTTTTTATAATTTTGGAAATAATCTCGAAAGTTTGAATACAAATGTATATACTGTAGACAATAAAAAATATCACTAATACAAGATCCACAAAATGTTGCTTAAAAGATTTAACTAAGAAGCAAAGATAACTGATTGCAAGGAAGGTAAAAATAAATATCAAAATGGCATATTTATACCAGGTGTGCAATTCAGGCTCTTGTTTCATTTTCTTTTGGCCATGGTGTTGTCTGATTCTTATATTTACAGTCAAAAACATTGTTTAATGATAATATTTAAAAGAAGTCACAGTTAAATTTTTTATTAAGGATTGATGTTCAGAAAATTTTATAAAGATTGTGACTGACGACATTCTAGTTTGATTTTAATTTTTACTGCTTATATTAGCAAAGGATAGTTGTGGTAGTAAATGTCAATGAGACGCAATCCAACAAAACAAATGACAAGAAGACACCATAGTCTTTAACACTAGACAGTTGTCTACAAAACTCGGAAAGGCCAGAAGTCGAGGATGTAAACTACAACATCAAGTTTGTAATTTTTTGGCATCCCAACTTATTTGAATCGAGCCTCACTGATGAGTCTTGTGCATACAAAACAGGTAATAACACTAAGCTAACTACAAGCCTGGTTCGTGTATCTTTTTAGTGAGTTTTTAAGCAAAAGTTTTTACTTCCGCTAATTAAGAAAAATGAGATTATTGACGCAAAAAAATTGTTATAGCCTAATGACTGTTTATATGTCTTTGATATTACATGTAATTCTAAAAAAAACTGGCCCTGATTAAATTTACATTACAAGTTTTGTAATAGGTGTTTTAAAAGGAATTTGAAATGATATAAGTGCTTTGTTTAAAAAAAAGTAATTAAAGATACTAGTAGGTTTATATATTTGTCAACAAAAGACTCATCAGCAACAATGGAATCAGAAAAGTTGGGAGGCCAAATCATGATCGAGAAATTATAGAGAATTGAAAATTAGAAATTCCAGAAAGTTGTGTCAAATCTGAGGGGAAGAAACGCTTGAGTGCTACGAATAGTTTTGATAATATATGAATAAAAATCAATTTGATATAAAATGACCACATCAATGATGATTCTAGTCAGATCAGGAGTACTGAATACTTGGCTTATGATACGAAACGTCCTCTAGCATTGGTATCGACCCAGTGGTTGTGACCCGACGAGCTTTTCAACAAAACAATGTATGAAACAAGATTTGATAGATAAATAAAAGTCCAACTATTATTCGTTATAATAATTGTTATGTTACACGCCGAGGTTATCTCAAATTTTAATCAAAATGACGATATTATATATCTTTTAGATAAATCATTTTATAAAACCATTTAACATAAACACAAAAGTTAGGTTAAAACAAAAAATAAAATGATTTCAATGAGAGTAATGGTGTTGTTTTCAGTTTGTGTATTACACTCTGGATTTTTATTGGAGGATAAAAGTCCACAAATAACTAGTACTAGCAATCAGTATCTTTCCATGTCAACGTACCTAGCAGATCAAACATCTATTCACCATGATCTTGAAACATTACGTAGACAGCAAGAAATGTCAATGAACCTACTGACGTCACAACTGAACAAGAAGTTGGCGGAAATGGACAAACAAATTTCCGAAAAATCATCCCCAAACGACACTTCCAAAGTCTTAGTTGCAGAGTTGGGGCAAAACGTTCAAGAAGTCAAACAAAACAACAGCCGTTTAGCTAGTGATCTTGAAGCACTACAGCTAAAATATAATCTCCTTAACAAGGCTTTTGAAAACACAACTTCAGAGCTGAAAAGCAGTCTTCAGGAATTAAAACAATTGAAGGATATACAACAGCTACAGTCATTGAATAATTTAAATGAAAAAATACAGAAGATTGATTCCTCCGTTTATTCCTTACGAAATCACGAACAAGCTCGAAATCAGGATTTTTTGGCTTTATACAATTTAACAATACAGTCGGAGGCAGCAATTAATAGAAATATGAACCAATATCGAAAAGAGATAAATAATAAGATTAACGAGCTACAGCGAAACGTCAACAACAAAGGTATTGTGCATTATGATATGGTTTTATGCCCCGCAGCAGCCGGGGGCATACAATGTTACACTTGTCCGCATGTACGTACGTTCGTCCCGAAATTGGTTTCCGTTCTCTCACTTAAGTTTGTCTCAACCAAAGGTAATGAAACTTGTACACAATGCTTATTGCCACAAAACACAGATCAAGTTTGAATTTTGGTGGCATCACTTTTGTACCGTTCTGTACCTTTATATTGTTATACGCAAGCGGGGGCATCATCTGTGTCCCATGGGAACATTCTCCATTTATTTTAACTGTTGTTACTTACATTCGCCAAACATACAAAAACAATATAAAATTGGTTGGTTTGATTTGATTTTTTGATTTTTGGTGTTTTAACGCCACTTTTAAGCACCGCTTTTGGGCTATTTCGTGGCGGCCAGTTTTTATTGGTGGAGGAAGCCGGAGTGCCCGGAGAAAACCACCGACCTTCGATAGGAAAACTGACAATCCTAGTCAATTAAGATTGGAGTCGAGTGCACCCGCACGAGCGGGGTTCGAACTCACAACCTCAGTGATGACTGGCTAGTGATTACAGTAGTAACTACTTAGACCACTCGGCCACCGAGGCCCCTTGGTTGGTTTGAACTGAGACATGTAAAGTAGTGATGAGTGGGCGGACAAAAGGCGAGCTAGCTGTAACGACTCGGAATCAGAGGAATTAATTCACTGCCTAACTGTTGCTATAGTTAAGAGAGAAAAAGAATAAAACTCGGAAAAGAAATTTCATCCGTCGCTATAGAAGTTCAGTCATTTTTAAAGAAATGTCATTTTCTTTTTAAAGTCGATGTACAATAGTTCAATTTTCAAAACCGATTTTCTTTTTAAATTTCAAGCTTAGAAATTAAATTCATTTAATTATTTTTCTAATTAAATATATCACTGATACAGTCGATCTCATACCTATCTATTGTTAATAAGGGAGCTACCATTTGATTTTTATGGGGGGGGGGGGGGGGGGGGCTAGGATGAAATTTGAAAAAAATAGGCAGGACAGGAGTTTTGAGAAAAAAAAAGGCAGGGTGAGACACTTTGCAAAAAAAAAAAAAAGGCAGGATGACAATTTATGTAAAAAAAAGTCAGGATAAACTAAAAAAAAAGACAGGACCGAATAGAGTGAAATGTAAATAGGCAGGACAGATATTACAACTAAAAAAAAATGCAGAACAAAATTTTTCATCCTAGCCCCCCATAAAAATCAAATGGCAGCTCACTAACTGGACACAAAACATCGAGTAAAAAAGACGATATATGAAAACGACATGTAAACTGCCGGCACATCACTTCTATATAGCGTGAAAAAAATATCGTACTGTTTACATTTTAAAGCATAAAACACATCACAGATCACCACAAAGCACACACTTGCCTCTCGGAGTTACAACCTTAGTTTCTGTCTCAAATCACCAGCCTGTAATTCCGTGGTTGTCATTTGTTGCTGTATATCAGATTTGTTTTTCGTTTGTTTTTGTATATCATAAATCAGGCCTTTGTTTTGTTTGTTTGAATTGTTTCGCATTTGTCATGTCGGGACCTTTTTATTGCTGACTATACGTTATGGGTTTTGTTCATTGTTTAAAGCCGTACGGTGGCAACGATGGTTGCTTACACGTACGTCGTTTTATATCTTATTGATAATTGTCTCTTTGCAATCATACCGCATCGTCTTAGTTTTATATGGTGTCGTGTTTATTCTCTATTCTAAGCATTAAGACTTTATATTTACTTTTTTCAGTGTCACTGACTGCATGTGTAGAACATCAGACCATGTTTTTTTCTGGTGAGACGATACAGTTTACAGATATAAGAACGACCATTGGCAACACTAATATATCTTCCTTTCAGTCAACAGGCTTATATGTTTGCACTGTCTCCGATTTATATCTTATTTCTGTGGTGTTAATGTCAAAAACAGGAGCTCATGAAATTAACATTTTAAAAAATAACATCACAATAGTAAGTGGTTGGATGGATGATTATTATACGTCAAGCGCTAATACATATTGGAGCTC